GCTGTTTCTTTTGAAGATTGAATGTTTTTTGCTTTTTTAATTTAATGGATAAGTATTCTAAAATTAATCTTTTACAAATGTACAAGGTAAATGTATTCTGAATACCGGCTATGCAAATTGTAACTTGGACTGAATACAGATACTTAATGTCTGTACTCTAAATACATCTTCCCAATACTTTTATTCCATTATATCCCAATCCTGTTTACATAGAGTACAGATGTAGGTTTTGAAGCAATCATGAGGTAAAGCTCTAGCTGAACCAAAGGTGCTACATGCAGGGCAGGCCAGTGAAACCAGGTTAATCAGAGAGTTCTAGTGAACACACATTCACAAGCACATCTAGGAGTGACAGCATCATAGCTAAACAGTCTAAATATGGGTAACTGTAACACTTCCCCCCCTCCCAAGAGTCCACCAACCTGAAATATATAACACATGAATACGAACAGTCATAAATCCAAAAAGTCTTACATGTCCTTGGTCACTCTCTTATAGGCTTGTCCTAGGTGTCTCTTTTCATAAGGACAACTCAATGTAGGGCAGGCACCACAGCACATGCTTGGCTGATGGCCATCTCTCAGGGCCAGCAAGCTGGTTAAAAAGTCTAGGTGAATTACTACTGAGCCCTGCCCTGCCCTAAGTCACTTGTGGTACACTACCTCTGATAGTGTCTACCATATTGCTCATCATATTGAAGAAATTCTCTCATTTCTTTGTAGGACAGAAAAGGCTCGCTCAGTTCCCAGCCTGGCATGGCTTTACATAGCAGCGGGTGTCATGGGCACTCATTTGCTTAGCTGGGGAAACTGGTTCTTGCACTGACATCATTGGCTTTGCCACCACAGTCATTAGTGGATCCGGGCACAAAGAGTTTAAGCAATTGATTGCAGGGGCAACTTGGCAGGGGTGGCACCAGCATACCTGAAATTATGCAGTATGTCTGATTGTATTGGACCATCCTGAATATTGTCTGCTGCCTGCTGGCCTCACTTTGCACTGATTGATGTTTTTTCTGAAAATCACAGAATTGACCCTTGCTAAAAAATGATGAGCACAATCACTACTTTCTCCATCAAGTGAAGGCAAAACTCCATCAGAATTCCGCCAATGCTTGATCATGTTTTATATCATGATCACATAGGCTGAATCCTGTTTAGCCATTAGCTGCATGATTCCCTATCTAACATTAGTACACTATTTGTGCACAGATAGCATAGTTTCCAATGCGGTGCACTGTGTAAGGAGCAGGGATGCATTTGAGAATCATCCATAGTATTTGAGGGGTTTTTAAAATGTTATGCACAACTCTCTGTTCCCTCCATATAATAAAATTCAAGGCACAATTGCTACTCAACCTCTTGACCACTATATAACATTGTTTCCGGGGCTGAGAGTGTGGGTCTGGTAGTCAGAATTAGTTGGCTAAGAGATGGTAAAAAAGGTTTTACTGTGAAAGGTTTTACTGTGGAATGTGTAATTCAACAACGACTGTTTTGACCATCTGAAAAGTGGAAAAAGTGTAAAGATGATGTTTTGTACCAAACTACTGTACATGGAACACCACACTCACTGGCTAATGTGAAAAACTTAACATGTGACTGTTAACTTATGAAAGGTAAGGTAACACTTTCTATGAATGTCACCTTTGTAAGCATCTATAAACACATTCATAACATGTTATAATACATTCATAAGACATTATAAACATAGCTATAAATATTTATAAAAATGCATTATACGTTATAGCCATGTTTATTATGCATTATGAATTGTTAACATAATACATTATAAGTACTGCGTACTGTACTAAAGCCTCCTCCAGTGTTAAGAGTGAGGCTTCAAGTTGAAGTATTTACTGAAGGATTTACTGAAACACTAAAACACACAATAAAGCACATTACAGGCTTCAAATGTCAGAGTTTAAACTAGTGCTGCCATCAGTGCTTTACCCAATGTGGGAAAGGTAATGTACACCAGCGTTAGCTTGGTATTTGTTTTTACTTTACGCTCTCCAAGCTGGGACTGACTTCTTTGGCACTGAAATTATAACATGTTATTAACGCTATTTATAATGCATTATATTAACAATTCATAATGTATAATAAACATGGCTTTAAAGTGTAATTCAGTGTAATTCTTTTATATAAATATTTATAACCATGTTTATAATGCCTTATGAATACATTATAACATGTTATAAATGTGTTTATAGATGCTTACAAATGCGACATTCATAGAAAGTGTTACCGGTAAGGTAATACTTAGGGCAGTGCACATGAGGCTAAATGACAGCTACATAAGTCTGTCATGACAGCTAACATAGTCCCACATAAACATTTATAAAGCTGCTGTTGTCATCTTTGATGTCAGGTTGACATAACACCTATGCCAGATGACATTAATTTCTCTGACATTAGTTTGTGTCATTCACTTTTTTGGGTGAAATGGTGTAGCATGTTATTGTAACTGACTTTGTAGGTTAATGTTTATCACAGGGATATGAATGATGATTGTGTGACATGGTTAGAATCTTATATATAGTAAAATGAAATCATGTTACCCAAATGGCACAAAAATGGTCTGTTCTACAGCCTGAGTCAGCAAGCTATGCCATATTATCAGCATTATGACATTATGTGTCCATTTCACACCAGAAAGTTTCATGACACAACCTAATGTCAAGGTAATTGTCACCTGATACAGATGTTAACAACATATGACATCTATAGGAATAAGTGTTTATAAATGTTCATGTTGGTTTATGTCAGTTGTTATGAAGGGCTTGCTTGTGTCATGTAGCCTTATGAACACTGCCCTACAGTAATAAGTATTTCCCTTAACTTTATTTAGGTTACTGCATTTGCTAATATTCATTTTAATAGGAGGTCTTCCACTGAAAAAATATTTATATAAATAAATAAGATAATTTCTGTTATTATAAAGACATTCTGTGCAAAGCTAAATATCGATTCACTTGTATGTGTGCAGTCCTTTGCACACATACAAAAAAAATCCACAAACAGTCCACAGCTCACAGGTTATATTTAGCATTAGCTCAGCCTTTATCATTCAAAGCCTCTACCTCATGTGCTTCATAATGTGCAGTGCCTAAAAAGGTTAAGGGGCGGCAAATAACATTTTGCCTAGGGTTCCAAATAGGCCACAGTCACTGCTGTACACTGCTCTGTTGTCTTTGCCAGTTCAGTCATTGTTGCTCTTTGAAGCTCATCAACTAGGTGAGGAAAGCCTAGTTATCTTTAGGGGAAAAAAGAATACTGTAGAGGTAGGATCTATACAGTCTCCTGGGGCCAGCTGTGATATTATAATGAGAAGAATTCTCCACACAAAACATTTTCCGATGTGGAAGAAAAATAATAAATCATTAAGGAAATCATTGGTTTGATGTTCAAAACAATTAACTCATTAAAAATGCAAAGATACGAAAGAATAAAGTAATAAGAATTTCTTTTGACTTTCAGTAAAGCTGCTAGCATCGCTTAATGCAATAGCATTTTTTCTACACCAGCACATCAGTGTTATCTTTCACTGTGGGGTCTTGTATGGTCCCCACATCTCATCCTCATCACTGCCCTTTCTGGTGAGTTCACACAAGCAGCAGGGGTCAGGGCTGGCAGTCATTACAATGATCCTCAGTAAGCAGATACTAAGCAGCTAGCGTAGCTGACAAACTACACCCTCAGTTCCTCCTCTCTCAGGCGGTGTTGTTTTGAGAAAATCTGTCTGTGGTTTCTGAATTGTACCTTCAACTCCGTGAGCTGCCCCAGTTGTCATGTGAAGGAGGATTCTGCTATGTCCTCCAGTGCATGGTCCATGATACACTCAGATATCTTCTTTGGGCTATCACCCTTTGCTTGGACAGGCAGATCAAAGCTGTGTTACAAAAAACACTGTGTGTACTATATATTGAACACTGCCCTAGTATATACAGCATACTGCATGCTATCCCTCATATAAATATGTAGTATCACTCTTTTGAAGCTGCTGTTGGCCAGTTTTCTATTTCATATTATGGAATGCAGTGTATCAAAAAATGACTACAATATTGACATCTTGTAATATTTGGCCAGGATATAATGTCATTCAAGTATCTTTGGCAAATTGGAGAAATTTATGTTGGTCACATACTGCATACTGCTTCATAATTCTAGGCACGATATATATGCAAGCAGTATGTAGTAGGCTATTACAAACATCATCCATGTCTATGTGGTATTGATGGTGACTAGAACTGGCCACTAGACTGTTTGGTGTCCCCCAGGAAGTTTGTAGCTCCACAGAGACTAACTATTGCCATTATTCCTGAAGAGAATGAGCATGAAGAGGGATGGGGGGGCTACTGGCTCAGCTCTGTGTATGACATAGAATATTGGCCTTTTGAGTTAGGCAAAGACGTTCAGGCATCACACCACACATGATGAATCAAAAATGATATTCAGTCTGTCAAAAGAAGAGGGTGCTAGGAAAAGCAGAATATACACTTTTGCAAAACAATGGTAGAATACTTTTCATTTTGTTTTATTTTACGCTTGATTTGGGAGGCAGTACCTTTCCTGGTACTATATAAAAGTTGATAAATGAGGCTGAATCTTTGCAATAAACTTGTCAGTCAAAAACAGAGTTTCCGAGTTTCTTCACTGCCCCAACACTGTGCTGTCAAGCTGCTTCCTTGTCAGCGCTGGTCTCTTGGCAATCATAAACTGGAATAGGATCTTGGAAGGGTCAGGCACTTTACAGCATCATGTGCGAACTCCCCAGTGGCATCCACACAGTTAGGAATAAACTGCCCCTGCTTTCTAACCAATTCCCAATTCTGGCACCAATGTAGTAACGATGGCAAATAACAAAGAGTCCTTTTAATTATCATCAAGCTGCATGGTGTACAGACCAATGAAAGTAGACCACTTCTCAGTGATAAGATCCAGTGAGAAGATGTAACATCCTTTAACTATCTTTATTTCCTTCTGAAATTATTTCAGGAGTCAGGCTGGTTGGTGGTTCTCGCTGCTCTGGGAGAGTGGAGGTGCTTCATGGAGAGACCTGGTCCACAGTGTGTGATGCTGACTTTGACCAGCAGGATGCAGAGGTTGTATGTCGAGAGCTGGGCTGCGGGCTTCCTGTGGAGGTGCTGGGAGCAGCTGCTTTTGGCAGAGGGGAGGGTCAGGTGTGGTCAGAGGAGCTTCAGTGTAGAGGGAATGAATCTGAGATTTCCCTTTGTACAACATCATCTTCATGCAGACTCAACTGCACTCATGACAGTGACATGGGGCTAATATGTTCTGGTTAAGTATAATATTGATCAAATGATTAAATGATATAAAATTAATTATTTTATAATTTGATTATACAAAAACAATTATTTTAATAAACTCTTTGTGTTTTCAGGTCACACTCAGGCTCAGCTGGTGAACGGCTCTGACTCCTGTTCTGGTCGAGTGGAGCTCCAGTACCTCAGTGAGTGGGGCACAGTGTGTGATGTAAGCTGGGATATGAGAGCTGCCAGAGTCCTCTGTGGTCAGCTGAAGTGTGGGAGTGCTGTGGCTGTGGTGGGGTCAGACTGGTTTGGGGAGGGGAGTGGCCAGATCTGGGCTGATGTGTTTGATTGTCAGGGGAATGAAATACACCTGTCAAAATGTCCCATTTCATCATGGAGTCGAACTGTATGCTCTCATAAACAGGATGCTGGAGTCATCTGCAGTGGTGAGCTCTTAGAATCATTTAACTATGAGCTGTATTGGGTTGTATATGGGTTGTAAGTTGGAAACCTAAGTCAGCTGCTTAAGAAACTGATCTCAATAAATATGTGTGAAAAGCTGTCCATATACAAACAGTTTTCTGGTCGGCACATTCACTTAAATGAACTACTTGACGTTCACACCTCTAAGTTTTTCCTTATATAAAGACTTTGAAGAATTACAGGTATGTATTTGGCAGTCTTATCTAAAGTGATTTACAAATTTAATCATGTTACAAATGGAGGTTAATGTAGCATTAAGAATCTTGTTAAGAGTAGCTAGGGCTACCAAAATTACTAATAGAGGCGCAGTGTCAGACAAAAAACAAAGAGGAACAAAGGCTTTATATCAGTGGCATAGGCAGGCCTGTGAAAAAGTGGGTAAGCCAACTTTAGAGATACAGCTTTCATGGATGCTATGTACTACAATGTCAAAACATCAGTTTATATCTTATTTCTGACAGTAGTACAGTCATCAACATACCTTTTACAATGCTTCTGCACTGATAAACTATATATAGCAAGACTATAACAACTGACATTAATCAGGAAACTGGGTGGAGGGGTTTTGCTTCTTCTATTTATGTGAAATCTGAATATTGGCATGTTGCATCTCAACTGAACTCTGAATGTGGCTGTATGTTACCAAAAAATCTCAGTGTGCTTTCTTTATAAATATGTTCAATTCTTGTGCTGTACAAACGGATGAATGAATGAGGAATGTAAATTCAAAAACATTCTTATGGTGAATGTTCCCTATAGGTTCCTCTCTGGAGTTTCATGAGTTCTGCTGGACTCCTGGAGTGAGTCTGAGACCTCTGTGGTCTGCAGACAGCTGGGCTGTGGCTCTGTGTTCAGCTTCTCCAGCTCCTCTACATCCAGTCCTGAACACAGACACGTGTGCTGCAGCACTGAACCCCTTAACCTATGTTCACACCGGCATCAACTTTTTGCTTCTTTTTGCCCAAATCACTGATCGCACATCGCCTGTGGGCGTTTCTGAACTCGATCGGATTGTTAGTTGCCATGGTTTCACTGACGCCAAGCACAAATCAGATGCATTCCCACTAGAAATAAAAATCCTGGTGAGAAATTACTTGTTTGCTTATTTTTAGTTAATTCCTGTGTCTGTGCAGTCAGTATGTGAGGAAAATGGTATTTGATCTTTGTGATTACTGTCTATTTGTGACGAAAGCACCATTATTTCACCTGTAGTAGGAAAAATTTCCTAGGAATCAAAAATGGAGCTTACCGTTCACAGTGGCGGAGTGTACTACACTGCTCAGTGCACAATTCCTACTGGTAATCACCCCAGTAGGAACTTCGCTACTTATTTGCAGAAAGTTAAACTCTGCTCAACTTTGTTGCCACTGACTCCGCCCACTTTGCTTCACCAACATTCGCGCCACTTCCTGTTGGTGGAAATCGCCAGTTCTCATTGGAAATGAATGACTTCCAGCGGCTTTGTCGCATCACGTCGCTGCCGGTGTGAATGCAGGGTTAGAGTAGTTTGGGTGCTACCCAATCAACCTTTATTTTGACTTGGGAGTTTTTTGACGCTGACCTTCATTTACATTGTAACAGAACAAATTGAAAATCAAAATTATTAAAGCAAATCAACTTACAATTACAAAATAACATAAATAAAAGCTCAAATAAGACATAAAACAGCACTAAAATATGTAATGAAAACAAAATGTAAAAAAATTATCTTCACAAATATTCAGTAAAATAGTAAATAAAATAGAACATTAATTAAACTAACATCAAACAAGACAGTTGCAGGCTGAGTGGAGCTGGTTATAGATGAGAACTTTAAAATGACACCAGTGAGCGACGCTTTAGAATTTCCTGTAATGTATTCCAGCCTGCGGTAGCTAAAGGCAGATTTTCCCAGTTCAGTAATAACTCTAGGAACCTGACAGGTGATCCAGTCACTGGAGTGAGAAAAAAAAATACAGAGACCTGGAGAGCACCCTATAAATAAAAACAAACCAATGAGTTTCCGGCTGTATGGGTAGAGAGAACCAACCAACTCTTTCACACAGTGTGCAGCGATGGGACTGTAAGGGTCTCCAGTAGTGAATCTCAGCAGAGTGATAGAATGAATCTAGTGGTTTACAGCTACTGGTCGATGCATGCCTATAGATTATATCACCCTAGTCTAGGATGGATAGTAAGGTTGCTTCCAACATCCATTTTTCCTATTATGCATTGGGAAACTTATTTCAGTACAAGTGTCCAAGCTTTTGCCTACTGACTAGCTTATTAATGTGATATTCAAATGTAAAATTATCAACCAGACATATGCCGAAGTACTTACAGCGTGCTGAAGTTGGTGACAAGACCCTTTACGATTTTCTATATTTCTGCATAAATGTGACCGAAAACAATCAGCAGATTTTCTCAGAAGCCCTAAAGTAGACAACAAGCATCAAATTATACACACTGAGACGAAGAATATTAGTACTTGGTCAGGTATTTTTTGAGGAAATCATCCAATATTACAGATCTGTGAGCAGCAAAAATATGTGACCCTTTAGGATTGGCAGATAATTTGAAGGTAAAAATAAGTTTTAGGTGTTTTCAATCAGTGGGATGACAATCAGGTGTAAGTGACCACCCTGTTTTATTTAAAGAACAGGTGCTCATCAGGCTGGAAAAGGTTAAAAAACATCTCTAAAGAATTTGGACTCCACCAATCCACAGTCAGATAGATTGTGTACAAATGGAGGAAATTCAAGACCAGTGTTATTCTTCCCAGGTGTGGTCGAACAACAAAGATCACACCAAGAGCAAAGCATGTCATAGTCCGCAAGGTCACAAAGGAACCCATGGTAACTTCTAAGCAACTAAAGGCCTGTCTCATATTGGCTAATGTTAATGTTTATGAGTCCACCATCAGGAGAACACTAAACAACAACAATGGTGTGCATGGCAGGGTTGCAAGGAGAAAGCCACTGCTTTCCAAAAAGAACATTGCTGCCTCTCTGCAGTTTATTAAAGATTACATGAACAAGCCAGAAAGCTATTGGAACAATATTTTGGGGATGGATGAGACCAAAATAGATCTTTTTGATTTAAATGAGAAGCATTATGTTTGGAAAAAGGAAAACACTGCATTTCAGCATAAAAACCTTATTCCGTCTGTGAAACATGGTGGTGGTAGTATCATGGTTTAGGCCTGTTTTGCTGCATCTGGGCTAGAACCGCTTGCCATCATTGATGGAACAATAAACTGAATTATTCCAGCAAATTCTAAAAGAAAATGTCAGGACATCTGCCCATGAGCTGAAACTCAAGAGAACATGGGTCATACAGCAAGACAACGACCCTAAGCACACAAGTCGTTCAACTAAATGATGGTTAAAGAAGAACAAAGTTAATGTTTTGGAATGGCCAAGTCAAAGTCCTGACCTTAATCCTATAGAAATATTATGGAAGGACCTGAAGCAGCAGTTCATGGGAGGAAAACCAGCGTAACAGAGTTGAAGCTGGTTTGTATGGAGGAATGGGCTAAAATTCTACCAAGCCGATGTGCAGGACTAATCAACAGTTACTGGAAACATTTAGTTACAGTTATTGCGGCACAAGGGGTCACACCACACACTGAAAGCAAAGGGTCACATACTTTTTCCACTCACAGATATTTAATATTGGATAATTTTCCTCAATTAATAAATGACCAAGTATTTCTGTCTCATTTGTTTAATTTGGTTCTCTACTACTAGGACTTGTGTGAAAATCTGATGAAGTTGTTGGTCACATTTATGCAGAAATATAGAAAATTCTAGAAGGTTCACCAACTTTCAAACACCACTGTGTATTTGGTGGCTCTCTCAGTACTAGATCCTAAAAGTGTGTTAATATTCAAAATGTTCAAATCAGCTGAACAATACAGAATAGTGTCATCTGCATTCTGCATACAGCACTTTGCAGTCAGAGGCAGCAAAATCATTTATAGAAAAACTAAATAAGACTGGGCTAAAGACAGAAACTTGCAGGACCACTTTAGTGACAGGCATTAACTCTGATTTGTAGTTATTGGCTTCTTGCACTTGCTCTGTGTTTCAGAAGGTGCTTTAAGGGCACCGTGCTCTGCCCTCTCAGTTAAAATGACATTTGTTGTTGGTGTTGTTGTTTATGTTGTTGTTTGTTTAAGATGTGTTTAGGTGTTGACTGTGCTTTGTGGTGTTGGGCTGTTGGTTAATTAGGTGTGGATTTGTGTGTCTACCACAGAGAAAGTTTGGCTAAAATGGCCTACCCCACTAATGTTTTTATTCAGTGGCCTTTTCTACAATGTTCAATAAAAGAGCATTTTTTTCTGGGCAGAGATAATGGCATCTTCTTCTTTATCGCTGATGCCACAAAACCAAAGGTCTCAATGATTAATTGCTTTTTTGGTTAATTATTTTTTTTATTATTTATTTATTTTTAACTGCGAGACGGCAGTCTGAACTAATTAAGAAGAATGTTCAATGTAGCACTGGTTAGATTCAGCCATTTAGTTTAATGTGAGATCCATGTTTTGCTTATTTCTAGAAGGTGGTTTTGTCCAGACATTCTAAGTTTCACTCTTACATGTTTTAAATTGAAATGTTTAGTATCTGAAAACTGCACTGAACACAAATAGATCTTTATAAATCTATTCCCATATATTACATATTAGCATAATCATTAATGCTCATGACATTATTATAGTGTTATTATGAGAAATAAATGTATTATGTATGGTACATAATAAATAATGTATTATGTATGGTGAATCATACTTAGGAAGAACTTGGAAGTCATGTTCAGTCTTTGAACTGAGTCTCTTTCTCTGTTTGTGGTTTTGTATGTGTGTTTTTAGCTCACAGCTCATCAGGCTGTTGGTTCTGGGGGAGACTGGCAGCGAAGGCTGGAGGTTGTCCACAGCGGCTCAATGGGGGACACGTGCGTGATGACTTGTGGGATTTTAAGATGCGCAGTGTGTGCAGACAGCTGCAGTGTGGAGTGGCCTCAGTGCTCGGTACCAGGCGGTTGGACCGGGTAAACTGGACCCATATGG